GCATGCATGTACCATGTATGTGTTTGTTCCAAAGGGTCTTCTCAGCTCTTCTCAGGGCTTGGCTAGAGTATGAGATAATTATGGACTTACTTGCAGTCAAGAAAAAATGGCCAAAAAATCCCTAGACCTGGGCTCTGGGCTGCCACCCAGAGTGGGTATATGTTTGTTAATGGCTTGAGATAAATTGTTCTAAGTAGGGCTGCCTACTTCCCTGTATTAGTCAAGATTCTCTAGAGGAACAGAACTATTGAATGGATCTCTCTATAGAGAGAAGGGGAGTTATTAGAATGATTTACAGGCTGTAGTCCAGCTAATTCAATAGCTGGCTATGAATGGAAAGTTCAAGAACCCAGAAGTTGCTCAGTCCATGAGGCTGGGTGTCTCAGCTGGTCTTCAGTAGCTGCTGGGATCCTAAAGAAGCATGCTGTAATGCCGTGAAGGAATGGACTTGCTAGAACAAGCAGGCAAAGAGGGGGCAGGCACACTTCCTTCTTTCATGCCTTTATCTAGGCTGCCAGCACTAGGTGTGGTCAGATTAAAAGTGTGTCTTCCCACCTCAAAGATCCAGATTATGTGGATCTTCCTACTCCAAATGATTTAATTAAGAAAAAAAAATTCCCAAGCCGGGTGGTGGTGGCACACCACCTTTAATCCCAGCACTCGGGAGGCAGAGGCAGGCGGATCTCTGTGAGTTCGAGACCAGCCTGGTCTCCAGAGTGAGTTCCAGGGGCTGCAGCTATTGCTACTGACAACTATAGAGAAGGAATTTCCTTTCTCTGGGGCCCTTTTGAGGGTAGAAAGCATCCAGTGCATACTCTACGTCAACATTATGCAGCCAAATTCATAGCAACAGATATTCTGGAGTCTGTATTTCTTGCAAACTTTGCAAGGCAAGTTTTCTCCGTCAGAACTTAATTCTGGTGGGTTGATACTTAGAATATTAATTGCTACTTCTGTAATAAATGATTAAGGCTTTCAGCACAGCCTGGCCTTGAAATCAGAGATCTGCTTATCTCTGACTCCAGAGTGCTGGGACTAAAGTTGTGTGTCACCACCACCTGGCTCATGTCTTTGGTTTAAGATGCCATTAGGACTAATTTGTTTGTCTTACTCCTATTATCCCACCTATTTTGCCTGCTAACCCCCCACCCCCATTTAGAAACCCCATACCCCTGAGCTATAAACCCTTGTCTTTCTCATATCCAATGCTGACTTCTTGAACCCCACCTTAGGGGAAGGCAGTCCCTTGTACATGGATAAAAAAGCTTGGTTTAATTAATTGCTTGCTTTAATTAATTTGGCCACGATGATTTGGGTTGGTGGTAGCCTAAATTTTTTTCTCCCTGCTCATAGCTGTCTGTAACTCTAGTTCCAGGGGTCTGACCCCCCATACATACTTGCAGGCAAATACACTGGCCACCCCCTTTTATTGTTAAGACAGGGTTTTTCTATATAGCCCAATCTGACCTAAACTCACAATCCTCTTGCCCCAGCTTCTTTAGCACTGGGGTCAGAGGTGTGCACCTTATTACATGCTAGCTCCTTGGATTTCTGAAAAACACAGGTATTTTTCCTGGTGTCTTTGGGACCATTGGGTAAAGGGTCCACACAAGCCCAGCTCACCCCCAGGAGAGCACATATAGTGTGTTGGACACCCCCCCCCCCGCTGTGAGAACTCAGTCCCCAAAGTAGACGTGTTAGTCACCACTCTCAGCCAGAGTGAAGGACCATGGAGGAAACATGAAATGGATGAACAGGTCAAACAGGTGAAAGACAAGGTAAGGAGGCAGATTTGAATGTAGGTCCTGAAGAACAGGTGGAGGCCAGCCCAAACCTGAGTTTCTAGGTAGGCCCTTCAAGGTGTGCCTGCCCCAAGATGCCACATGACTCACGTTGGACCAATCACAAACTCTCCAAAGTTGTTGCAGGCTCCGACTCCTGTCCTTCCCATTTGCCATGCACCACTCCCATCCCCCACCCCTACACACACACACACACACACACACACACACACACACACACACACACGCGCGCGTGCCCGAGAGGCGAGGCTCAGTCGTGCTCAGAGACCTTTAGTTCAGCTTTATGCATGCCATCTCTTCTCAGAAGTGTGTCCTTCTTCCACCCCACCCCATCAGCTGGTCCAAGCTCCTACTGGCACCGGGACAACTATCTGCTCACAACCATCTGTTATGACATCTGGTGCCCTCTTCTGGTGTGCAGATATACATGGAAGAAGAATATTGTATACATAATAAATAAATAAAATCTTTAAAAAAAAAGATTTTATTTATTATGTATACAGTGTTCTGCCTGCACGTATCCCTGGAGGCCAGAAGGGAGCACCAGATTTCATTGATGGTTGTGAGCCACCATGTGGTTGCTGGGAATTGAATTCAAGACCTCTGGAAGAGCAGTCAATGCTCCTAACCTCTGAGCCATCTTTCCAGCCCGCACATGGCATTTTCAAGAGAATAATGCTGCTGCAACCTCAAATGACTCCCGCATGAAGGTTACATTACTAGACATAGAGTTTCTGGAAGACTAAAAGGGAGAGTACCTTGGACTTGGCCCTGTCAATCAATACTGCATCCCATACATCCAAGAGGACAATGACAAATTAGTGCATGCAAGTGACGATGGCCTTGGTTAATGGAAAACCACAGCACCTGCAAGCATTCATTGCAGCTCCCTGAGAAACCAAAACCACTATATGCAAATGATTGTGGGGAAGGGGAGGGGAGATGAAGGAGAGAAGAAAAGCCACCCTGAATGCACAGTACTAGGAGAGGAACCCACTGAGGCCCATGCACAGCTTGTCAAGGCCTGGTGGTGGGCCAGGATAACAAGACACAATAGATTAAGAGGATAAGGAAAAAGGAGCATATTTCTCTGGAGTCTGGGATAAGTCTCCTGCCAACCGAGAGTCAAAGTGGGGGAATGTGGGGATGGGTGAGTGGGTGGAGAGATGGGTCAGTGGCTAAGAGCACTTGTGGCTCTCTAAGAGGACCAGAGTTCAGTTATCAGCATGCACATAAAACAGCTCACAACCACCTGTAACTACAGCTCCAGGAAATTTCAGTTCTCTTCTGGCCTCCAAGGGTACCCACCTCACACAGGTGTACACCCATACCATGTGCACATACTGACCCACACATGTGCATAAGCCTACTTGCCCATATATGCACACACACACACACACACACTTTAAAATCAAATCAAATCATTGGAGGCCAGTCTGGGCTACAGGACAAGACCCTGACTCAAGAGAAGAAAAGTGAAAGTTACCTTCATAGAGACAATATTTCTTTTATCTAGAGATGCTGCAAATAAAAATGTTAAAATAACTGTAAAACTGGCTCAAGGCCTAAGCATAAATCACCTTGATTGTGGCCTTGTCCCTTCCCAGCTGCACATAGTTTTCTAGGCCTCTCATTAAAAATCCCCAAGTAAGCCATGCCAGTGGTGGTGCACACCTTTAATCCTAGCACTCAGGAGGCAAAGGAGGGTAGATCTCTGTGAGTTCGAGGCCAGCCTGGTCTACAGAGTGAGTTCCAGGACAGCTCCAAAAGCTACAGAGAAACACTGTTTGGGAAACAACAAAAAACCAAAAACAACCAATCCTTTTCCTTCCCAGTTTGTTTTTGGTTCCTGTCCTTCATCACAGCAACACTAACTCTAAACGTTATAGTTGGGGAGGGTTGCTGGAGGCAGGCAGTCCAGTGAACAGGCCCAAGTAGGAAGGCTAGGGAACATGCATGCAGGGTGTTGGTGCCTGAGCATAGGAGAAAGAGACCAGAGACTTCTGCTTCTGAGCCCTTTGTGTGGGAGTCATGTCTGGTGGTGGGGAGTTGCTTTCTAGTCAGCACAGTCAGGTCTCTGAGGAGCCAACTAAATGACTTGGGCCCTTTGGGAGTGTGGATGAGAGTGAGCCCGCTTCAAAGCTGCCATTGTTGCCTCCTTACATGCCTTACAGAGCAGGAATAGGGTGGTTCCATGAGAAGATTCTGGCAAACGGCTATGGGGGAAAGACAGTGAGTCATCGCTGGGAACCCTTGAATTTGACACCGCCAAAGCGGCTGCCCTGCCCTGCCCTGCCCTGCCCAACTCCAGGAGTCTGAAATCCACTAGGGGAAGGCCTCCCACACCCATCCCTGCCCACTTCGGTCTGGTTGAGGAGCTGGAAGGCTTGACTCTGGCCTCAGCTGTCATGGAGAACTGAGTGACTTGCCCATTCCTCATCCCTGGGGGCCTGTTTCTCAAAGGGACCTCGGACACCCGCTGTGAGGGCCCTGGTGACAAGAGAAGGGACCAACCCCACTCTCCATCTCTATTTCTTTAGATTTCAGTTTCCTTATCTGTAAAGGTTTGTTCTTTGCACGTTTCAGGTCAAGCAATCCATGTGCGATCCTGAGAGCTCCTGGGACCTCCTGTCTGCACCTCCAACCACGGGCCCTCAGCTGACACGTTACTTTTTCATGCTAGTCACTGGACACAATCTGCCTTCTGCTCCTTGCACCCTGGAGTGCGGAGGTGGCTGTTATCCCCAGCTCCAGGGCTAGCCAGCCTTTTCTGCCCAGAAACCTGGTTCTTCGTGGGTACCACCATGTGCTAGCTCCTCTCTCCCTCCTCCCTGCCCCTATTTTACTCAACTACGCCTTGTGCAGTGAGTGGTAAATTGGTTCTGTCTGTGGGGAGCAGTCTGGAGTCCTGCTGCGTTGCTGGTGCACCCTCTAGAGGCTACTCTGTTCAGATTTTTACTCCGCTGCAAGCAGGATGGTCCCAAGGCCAGAACTTGCTGCAGTTCCACTTTCTGTAATCTCACTTGGGCCTTCCAAGTAAGCCGCTTGGAGACCTCCCTGACTGCGGCTGCGCGCCCCACCCCATTACCATGGAGACTGCTCGTACACAGTTTTCTTTTCCCTTCCACCGGGTCCCCAGGCCCCTCCGACGGGACTGGTGCCCGCTTAGGAGGGAGCCCAACCTGCCCAGGCCTTCAGCGGGCGCCCATGAACACCGAGGCCCCGACAAAGCTGGCTGTGGGCAGAGTGAGGTTCTTCGGTGAACACCTCGGGGAGGTTAGCTCCTGCGGCTCTCCCGGGCTTGGCGGGGTCTCTCTAGGTCCCAGCTGAAGAATAGACTCTAGGTTTCTCTATTTTTGGTTTTCAGCCAGTGTTTCCTGTAGCTATGACTGCTCTGGAATTCACTATATTGACCTGCCTCTGTCTCCTGAGTGCTGGATTCAGGCGTTCGTGCCACTCCTTTTTCCTATTTGTAGCAGTTTGTCCAGGAACTGTTCAGGGATGTTGTCTTTTGAGGCAGCTTCAGGCAGTCTTTCCTGCCCTCTGCCTTCCCTGGTGCTGGGATCAAAGGTGCACACCACTATGGCCAGCTTGGATTCAATGCTCACTACAATCAATTTTGAACTTGTCATTTTTTTTTAACTTAAAAACAAAACAAAAAACCTTGCTTTGTAGACCAGGTTGGCTCGAAACTCAGATTCACCTGCCTCTTCCTCTTAAGTCCTCCTGTGCCACCATCCCAGGCTGAACTTGTCAACTGACTCAGAATTTTAGGATTTAGGTTCCAGCCTAGGTTTGCAGGGTCCTGTTCAACCCGAGTTCCTAGGCAATTTAGAGGAGAGGGGACAAATGACTTCTGACAGGCACGGGACCACTTTTGGTCTGTACTTTCAGGTCAACTGCTCTGCCTTCTCCCCTGATGGCCAGACCCTGCTCACAGCCTCAGATGATGGTTATGTCTACGTATGGGAGACCAAGAGCAGGCGACTGCTGTGGAGAATGGCTGGCCATAGAGGTGGGAGTTAGGCACCTGGAGCCTGTCTTGGTTACCATGACTTTTCGGGGAGTGCTGGAGCAAGTCTGGCAGGGGCTGTCCGTTAGGGTGACACCAAACCTCACACTCAAGGGACTAGTCTCTCAACCTAAGAGATCTGGACTAAAATCTTTACTGGGATTAAAGGCATGCGCCATCACTGCCTGGCTCATATCTTTTTCTAGTTTTTCCAAGACAAGGTTTCTGTGTAGCCCTAGTTACCTGGAACTAACTCTGTAGAACCAGGCAGTCCTCCACAGAGCTGGGATTATAAGCGTACACCACCACTGCCCGGCTTTGAATCCTTTCTTAAATCCTAGACATGTAGTCCTGCAGTACACTGATTCTCCAGAGCCTTCCTCTTTAACTGGCCTATTTCACTTCGTCTCATGTCCTCAAATTCAGACTACGTTCTTGGTCACAGAATTATCACAGGATAGATAAACCTGTGCAAGCAAGGTATCTAACCTGTTAAAACAAATGAGGGAATAATGGAACAGGATGACCAACATAAGTCAATTTAGACCAGAGCCAGAGAACCTAGGTGAACAGTGAGAGTATGTCACTAGGAGGGAGGACCTGGACTTGATGGTTTCCCAGAATGATAAACCAGAATGTGTTCCAGGTGAACTCAGCTCAAGCTTTGCAGGTAGACCCACAGATGACAAATGTGGACTATGAGGGCAGTAGGGCAACGCCACGGGTTCCCTGCCTCAGGCCCAGTGAAGTTCTGTCGCTTCTCCCCTGATGGCCGCCTTGTTGCCAGCTCTTCCTGTGACCGCACTATTCGCTTATGGGATGTGGCAAGACTCAAGTGTCTACATGTGCTGAAAGGTAGGGAGTCTGTTGAGCAGGGGCCACAGGCTCCTTTGCAGACCATGACCTGCCCTCTTTCCCACTGTTGGGCTGGTGCCTGCAGGTCATCAGCGGAGTGTGGAGACAGTCAGCTTCAGCCCTGACTCAAAGCAGCTGGCATCGGGTGGCTGGGACAGAAGGGTCATTCTCTGGGAGGTGCAGGTATGAGGATGGGGCCTGGGTGATATGTGCTCTCTTCAAAAACATTCAATGGTTCCCCCACTCCCTGCACCAACCAGGTACCAAGACTTTCTATTTGGCTGTGGCAGGCTTTCTAGGCCTCCCTGCACAGTGGCTTCCAGCATGTACTGACCGTCCTTGTAGCAAGGCCCAGGAAACTCCCTTAGGATAGTAGCTAAGCAGGGAGCATCTGGCCCCAAAGACTCGGCCTAGTAAAGTGCCTCAGGCTTCTGGGCTACCCACCTCCACCTCTGTAGCTCAGACTCTCTCCACAGTCTGGCAACAATGTGCGCCTCTTGCTTGGACACCGTGATTCAGTCCAGAGCAGCGACTTCTCCCCCACTGCAGACTCTCTGGTGAGTCTCACTCCCACCCTGTCAGTTGCCACAGGAATGGTAAGAGCCATTTCATACTCATGGTCACTGCTCATAGGCTACTGGTTCCTGGGATTCAACTGTGCACATCTGGGACCTGCGGGTGGCAACCCCAGCTGTCTCCTACCAGGAATTGGAGGGACACACCGGCAACATCAGCTGCTTATGCTACTCAGCATCTGGCCTCTTGGTAAGCCAAGCTGACCGGGGCTCCAGGCCAGTACCTATTTGCCCTGAGACCTTCAAGGGTGCAGGCCATTGTGGGGTCCACTGAGCTCAGGGATGTCTGTTTAGGCATCTGGATCCTGGGACAAGACCATCCGTATTTGGAAGCCCACAACAAACAGCCTGCTTTTCCAGCTCAAGGGCCATGCCACCTGGGTTAGAAGTCTAGCCTTTTCTCCTGATGAAATGAGGCTGGCCAGTGCTGGCTACTCAGAAACAGTAAGTCTATCCAGATCCAAGGCAGTCCCTCCTCCAGGCAAACCTCAGGCCTTACCATACTAGGCACACTCATGGGCCCAGCTGCATAGCAATGGCAAGACCTAAAGCCCAGCACAAAGGACCAGGTTGCCCTTCAGCCAACCTATGAACGTTTTACATTTCTGTGCCATCGGCTATGCCCTGGGACCTGGGAGCACACGACAACTCCCAACTCTACCGCCTGTTTTTACATCCAGGTCAAAGTCTGGGACTGCAACACAGGAGAATGTCTGGAGACACTAAAGGTAAGGTTGTACTACAGTGCTGACCAGGGTCAGTGCAAAGAACCCCGCAGAGGCCCAGGACTGACAGGACCTGCCAACCCTGACTCTGATGCTGTGCTACTGACAGGGCCTGCTGGATGTGGCCCATGCTTGTGTTTTCACTCCCGATGGCAAACTCTTAGTGTCGGGTGCTGCTGATGTAACAAGTTGACAAGTCTGCCGCTCAAAGTCTCAAGAACCTCTTCCTCGAAACTTACTACAGGCCTAAAGTAACTAGGAAAGTAGCTACCACATCTCGGTTACATGCAAGGACTACCGTATCACATAACAAGGCTGTCACCCGCTGTAGATTAAGTGGCCTCCCCCCATCTACTGCCTCTAGGTGGCCAGTGCAAAACAAGAAGCAGAAAGTCAGCGAGTCTTGCACTTTATTGCCTTCTCATCAGGCCTTAACCGCATACTTGCGAAGCGGGTACAGCCTCTCCTTCCTCTGCTGCTTCTTGGTCTTCAGCTTCTCTTCGTGTTTGGTGAGCCGGCGGCGCATAGCTCTAGTCTTCTTGGGTCGCAGGTCTAGAGGCTTGTACTTCTTACCCTGGGACAGAGACCACAGGTGAATCTTGAGTACTAAGGGCTACTGGGAAGATTCTGGGGGCAGGAGAGCACAATGGGCACCCAGAGCCTTTCAGCTTGGGACTGCCAATAAGGCACCAGAAGGTTGGCAAGCCCACTAATTGATCACAGAGACCCTAATTTCATGACTAAAGGGTTAAGAGGGGGGTCAAACATCACCCTTCCTAATTACCAATCAACAGTAACTAAAAACCACAACACAATCTAAAGGGCACAAGATACACACTGGGGTTCTGTGTTGGCAACAATTAACTGGATGATCCACCAGGCACTGTTTACTAATGCTCCATGGAGGCTTGGCTAAGGTCACCCTCACACAAGAGGTAAGACCCACCCCCAAACCTTTAAGGAAACTGTCCTCTTCATCTATCCCCTAGTCTTTCCCAAGTGTTCAAGTCCATTAGTGCAGTCCTATGAGTTAGGCTCCTACATGGAGAGCAGAAGCCCCACCAAGAACTCCAAGGCAGCAGCCTCCAAAGCAAGCTCCCCAGCAGTCAGCTAAAAAGCAGAGCAGAGCAGAGCATGCACAGCCTTTTAGAATGTGTAATTAGGGGCTGAAGAAGAGGGCTCAGAGGTTAAGCGCACTGGACTGCTCTTCCAGAGGTCCTGAGTTCAATTCCCAGCAACTACATGGTGGTTCACAACCATCTTTAATGGGATCTGGTGCCCTCTTCTGGCATGCAGGCAGAACACTGCATTAAAAAATAAATCTTAAAAAAAAAAAGAGGAATGTGTAGTCAAGCCGGGCAGTGGTGGCACACGCTTTTAGTCCCAGCACTCAGATCTCTGTAAATTTGAGGCCCACCTGGTCTACAAGAGCTAGTTCTAGGATAGCCTCCAAAGCCATAGAGAAACACTGTCTCGAACACCCCGCCCCCCAAAAAGAGACCGGGCAGAGCAGTCTACAGAGAAACCCTGTTCCAAAAATGTGTAATCAAGTGGCTACTCTACCACCAAAGGGACAGGTATCATGAGGCCACATTTTCTTGCACCAAGTGCCTGCAGGTGGATAGAGGACCCCAGAAAGCTGTGTAGGATGGCATGGAGACCCAAAGCCACCTCAGTTAGGCCCTCATCCATGTTAAGTTCACTTAAGAAGAGTTCTGCCCCAAGAGCACCCACTAAGCATCTCTGTCTATTCTTTCTAAAAACAGGCTAGACAGCAATGCCCACACAGCATGACACCCGTCATCACAGTTCAGAGGCAGGGGGTCTCTGTGAGTTCTAGACTACCCTGGTCTACAAAATGAGACAGAACAACAACAACAACCCCCCCCCAAGAACTTACAACCTTACTTTTTGTGGCCTGGGGGTAGCTCAGTGTTGCTTTGCTTACTAGCCTGACATTTGAAACCTCATGTTGTTAATTGTTCTTGTTTTTCAAGACAGGATTTCTCTGTGTAGCCCTAGCTATCCTGGAACTAGCTTTGTCCACCAGGCTGGCCTTGAACTCAAGAGATCCACTTCCCTCTGCCTCCTGAGTGCTGGGATTAAAGGGGTGCACCAACGCCCTGCAAAACCTCATGGTTTTAACCACCAAGCACCACCTAAATAAATAAAAAAAAAAAACTACCTCTTTTAGTCACAAATACATTACATGATAAAAAGCCCATGTGCCAGCAAGTCACAGGGAAGCACAAAATTTCACATAAATTGGTCCCCAGATGCTCAGAAACCCAGGAACACTTCAGGCCTATCCCCACACACCATGACAGCTTTCTGATATGCCAAACTGAAACACTAATGTGGTGAAATTTGCAGAGGCAATCAACCGGCTCCACCAGATGGCTTCAATCAAGGGAAATTATCTTAAAATGACAAGGTTCCTTTCAGAACAATCCCTTCAGTAGTCCACAGCTCTGTCACAGGAGTAAATTATTGTGTGACCCCGCAGCCTTGCTTTGTTCTATATTAACATGACAAACATCTTGTAACTGTTCCGAGGCAACTGTCCCCGGGCAACCCAACCTCTCCCAAGCACGGGAACAGATGTACCTGGCAGGTGAAACAAACAATGGGACAGTGAGAAATCACCTAACAGCTAGAGGCCAGGGTTCCAGCTCCAACTTTTAGCAAAAACAAGCCAACACAACATGGCTGAGAAGGCTGGGCTCAAAGCTCGTGTCGAGCCAGATCCCCAATCTCATCGCGTGCCTTCTGGCACCAGCAGAACTTAACGCTTGTTCGGAAAGCCGATACTCTGATACTGGGCAAACTCAGCCACAATATAGTGCCTCTTAAGTCCCTACCCCCCAACCTATTCACAACAGCACCCGGGTAATGCTCACCTTGTAGAATTTCCTGAGGTTTTCTTTTTGAGTCTGGTTAATTACGGTGAGGACACGGGCAATGGATTTTCGGACGACTCGTCTATACAAACATGTCAGAGAAGACCAGGGAAGTGCCAAGTTGTGTTGGTGCCCCCCAACTCCCCCCCAATTATATTATCCAGGAGGCAAAGTCTTGGACTTGACAGGTTCCCCAGGGATATTCGTAGAAACTTAATGCAAATAAGACAATGAGGAGCCTGGCGTTGGTGGCGCACGCCTTTAATCCCAGCACTCGAGAGGCAGGCGGATCTCTGTGAGTTCGAGGCCAGTCTGGTCTCCAAAGCTACACAGAGAAACCCTGTCTCGAAAAACAAAAGACCATGAGGAGAGGTCATTTTTTTTGGTTTTTCCAGAGTTTCTCTGTAGTGTTTGGGAGGCTGGCCTAGAACTCACAGAGAGATCCGACTGCCTCTGCCTCCCGAGTGCTGGGATTAGAGGTATGCGCCACCAACGACGGCTGGAAAGTTTTTAATCCTGGCCAAGAGCTTATACCAAAGACTGAAGCCATGACATGAAATCTGACTAGTCTAACTTAGGGAATCACAAACTGGGGAAACTCAAAAGGTGTGAAGAGACAACACCTCGGCCAGCTACAGGCCGAGAGCAGTTGGTCAGAAGGGCAGGTCTATGACTGGAACACGTGGTCTGGAGGTCTCAGCACACAATTTTGCTTAGGTGTTTCTCCACTCATCCTCTCAAGATTGTCTGGGGTGCAGTACTGGTGGCTTCCATTAAACAACTCATGTTCTCTTCGCCAATTCTCTCAGGCCCTTACATGTCTCCAGTCCCCACTACAACCCATGTAAATTAGGTCCAGGTAGGTGGCCCCACCATGGACCTTATGGAATACTCAATTCTTTAAACTACTTAAGTTGGCCAAAGCAGAGAACAGTGTGTACCCAGCTAGGACCTCAAAGGCCACTTACATCTTGGAGAGTTTGGAAGCGGCTCCGCCAGTCACCTTGGCGACGCGAAGCTGGGACAGCTCCACCTTCAGATCGTCCAGTTGTTTTAGCAGCTCCTCCTTCTTCTTGCCGCGCAGGTCCCGAGCCTTAATCTTGGCCTGTGCGAGAGGCGACTCTATTGGTCACCGAGTGGAAGCTCCCGCTTTCACCGTGGCCGATCAAAGAGGGACCGGGTGCGGGCAGGGTAGGCGGTCTGTACAAGCCCGAACCAGGGGCAAGCATACAGTGCCAAGCCGCAGGCCCCGGACATTCCTTGAGTCCCCCACTCGCACCCCGCGCCCCACGTCCCTGTTTCCACGTGTCCCCCCGCCCGGATGGTAATCGATTCCCGTGGCCTCACCATAGCTGCGCCGCTCACCGCTGAAGCCTCCTGGTCCGAGAGAAAGAGGAAGAGGCGGGCACGACTTCCGTAACTACTGCGGGGTGGCACCGAGCACGGCCAATAGCGTCACGGCTTGGGAGGCCGGCCCCTCCTGTGCGCCTGCGCATCGGCGATGCCCGCCCCTTCCGGGTTCCCCTGCCCAACCTCCATTGGCTGGTCTTTATAGACCTCTGGGGAAACTGAGCCTTAGGCTGGGCGGGACGTGGCTGGAAATGGCGTAGTGAAGGCTGCAGTTTGTCTATTGGCTGCAGTTTGTCTATTCAGTAGCTTATTCGGGAAGCCTGTCGTTTCCTCAATCTGTTCACCTCTGAGCTAGCTGTGGGTGGTCTGGGGGTGCGGAGGGCATGAGGTGTGAGGTTTAATTCCCAAAAGTTTATTTGAGACAGGGTCTCTCACTGTATGTCCCTAGCTGGCCGGGAACCTTCCCAAAGCTAAGATCGATCGCCTCTATGCCACAGCGTTGTGGGGGAGGGGGAGGGGGAAGAGAGAGAATTAGTCCAGTTTTTTGTGGTCCTTCCAACATGTGTATCTCGGTGGTCAGGTTCCGAACCATTTAGTCAGTCCAGTTCTTTTTCTTTGGGGGGGGTGTCTTTGTTTTTAAATACAAGAGCTCCATATATTTTCTGGGCTGATCTGTAACTTATGTTCCCTAGACTGGCATTGAAAGTGTGCCACCACCTGGCAAGGGTAAGAATTTTCTATGCTGACAGCAGAGTCAAACTCCAGCAAGAACTGTTGGAGATCGTGTGGAATAGTAGAAATCGCATTCCCATAATTTTTGAATTTCCGATTATTGATCTGGAGTTCAAGCCTTCCTCACTACATAGAGTGTTAGGGATGTATTATTGAGACCTTGTCTCAAGACTCTAAAACGGGGGTTGGGAGTTTGGTTCCGTGGTTGAGTATTCACCTGACATGCACAAGACTCTGGATTCAGTCCCCAACACTGAAATACAAATAATTAAAAACAACTCCAAAACAAAATCAGATTCTTGCTTTATTGCTAGCTACTAGTTGATATCTTGGTAAACCCATTTCCATCTTTGGTTGGTTCTCTTATCTGTGAGATCGTCTATCTTTGAGGACTAGAGGAGCTAACCTGACAACCTGTAAAGCTCCCAGCCAAGACTTGATATGTAAAAATCGAATAAAGTGGGCTGGAGAGATGGCTCAGAGGTTAAGAGCACCGACTGCTCTTCCAAAGGTCCTGAGTTCAATTCCTAGAAACCACATGGTGGCTCACAACTCTCAGTTATGAGATCTGGTGCCCTCTTCTGGTGTGCAGATATACATGGAAGCAGAATGTTGTATACATAATAAATAAAATCTAAAAAAAAAAAAAAATCGAATAAAGTATCATTGTTACTAACATGGTTAACATTGCCACATCTCTTCATCCCCACAATCCCCGGACAGACCACCGGCATCTAGGTCACAGCAACATGGACTTGATCTGCTAGGTTTTTGTAATAAATGACCATAGGGACCAATTGGAGCCCTCCAGTCAGCAGCCACCCTCTCTAGCAGTTTCTCAATGTTGTTCAGTACATAATACTGACCTAGGTTTCAGAACAAACAAACAGGGACTCACTAGGTGGTGTAAGGAGGGTTTTTAGTCATCTATCCCTAAGAGTAGCAGCTTACCCTTGTACTCCAAAAGCGCCTTACAATGCTCTTATATAACAGAGTTAAATGATGTGTACCTGTTCCTGTTTCCAAAGCCAGTCTCAGAGGTGCTCTCCATGCCCAGGTTGTGACTACTGGATGGATAGATATATGAACCTTGTTCCAGACTACTGTGAAGTCAAAATATATGTAGAAATGAGTGAGTTAGTTTAAATGGAAGCCTAAAGGTACAAACAACTTCCTAGATGCTCAGGATTGGACTAGAGTTATGACTATGCATAATTTTGGAAACTTTTCAGTGTTTGTAAGCTCCTCCCCTGAGGGCCTCCAACTGCCAGGTTCCACCCACAGGATACAAAAACTGTCCTAACACCTGGATACAGCCCCCACCCTACAGAGTAAAAAGCCCAAACTCTGGACATGAAATCCCACCAATCCCCAACCTGGAAAGCCTCACCCTGAAAAGTTCACCCCCACCCCCCAAGAAACTCTATGTAAGCTCGGTATCCTGTTTAGTTTGCTGCTATATCTCTCCTGAGCAGATGCAGCCATCACCCTGGTTTCTTCCTGCCCACAAGTCTTGTGTGAGGTTTATTGTGTGGCATGACTTTGTGATATTCCTTGGCTCCCGGCTGCCTGATACCTTTCCATCCGAGTTGAGCTGTAACACATAACTAGGATTAAACCCAGGTGGCGCACGCCTTTAATCCCAGCACTCGGGAGGCAGAGGCAGAGGCAGAGGCAGAGGCAGAGGCAGAGGCAGATGGAGCTCTGTGAGTTCGAGGCTAGCCTGGTCTCCAGAGAGAGTGCCAGGATAGGCTCCAAAGCTACACAGAGAAACCCTGTCTCAAAAAACAAAAAAAATAAACAAACAAACAAACAAAAAAAACAAAAAAACAAAACCAGGATCTCCAGTGTACTGGGTAAGTATGCCACAATAGGCTGCATCCCTAGAAATGCATCGTTGAAGTTATCAGTCATCGCTTGTTTCTATTACATGCCCCATCTAATTTACCAGCAAATCCTGTAGGCTTTATCTTGAAAACACCTAATAGGTTCCCATCACCCCCTTTTTTTGGCACCTTCAAGGCTTGAGCTACTATTGCCTATAGCCTACTCATAAATTAACATTTAAAAAAAACCCCAAAAAACCCAAGGTCTTGCTATATCTAGCCTTGGCTGTCCTGGAACTCATTATGTAGATCAGGCTGGCCTTAAACTCAGAGATCCACCATACCTAACACACCTTGAAACTTTTTTAGTTCTTGTTCCCAGATCTTTCTCTCTCTCGCTTTTCTTTTCTTTCTTTCTTTCTTTCTTTCTTATTTTTTTTTTTTTTGAGACAGGCTTTCCCTGTAGCTTTGGAGCCTGTCCTGGAACTTGCTCTGTAGACCAGGCTGGCCTCTGCCTTTCAGGTGCTAGAGTTAAAGGCATGTACCATTAACTCCTAGTTAATGCAGACTCTTGGTCCTCAGGATTGCAGGGGTGCACTACCATGTCAGATTTCATATCATGAATTTAAAAGCCTATCTGATGAAAGGCCACGGACATGAGCTAGAACATTATTTCATTCACATAATTATTTGCGGTCACTTCCCTGTTAAACCAGTATTTCTGATATTAAGTTCCTTCTGACCAAGATTTTCTAGGAGAGAGACTGGAGTGATGGACTGATACATAAGAGCACTGGTTGCTTTTCCAGAGGAACCAGGTTCCATTCCCAACACCCCTATGACATGGTGGCGCTAAACCATCTGTGTAATTACAGTTCTAAAGGATCTCATGCCCTCTTCTGTCCTCCATCAGGCACAACACCCATGTGGTGCACAGAAATACCGGCAGGCAAAATACACATTTAAGTAAAATATTAAAAACATATTTAAAGATGTTGTCTCAAGAACATTTTTATAAGCCGGGAGGTTGTAAAGCTAGGACATTTCTTTAGTCCCAGCACTTGGAAGACAGAGGCAGGAGGATCTCTGTGAGTTCAAGACCAGCTTGGTCTACAAGAGCTAGTTCCAGGACAGGCTCCAAAGCTCCACAGAGAAATCCTCTCTTAAAAAACCAAGAAAAAAAAAAAAAAGGACATCTTTTATAATATCAGATGTTAATTCCTGCTATTTTATGGCCAGCCTGCATCCCAGATTTCTTCTTATGTATGGGGCAGATATACAGGTAGGTTTTGACTACTTCCAGGATCTGAGACTTTATTCAGCATCTACTTGCACCATGTCTGCCTGGCAGTTTTTGATCTACAGATACAGTTCAATGGGAAGTAGGCAAAGCAAAACATGATGTTTCAAATACTGTTTTTGCACAAGAGTGCTATCAGATGAAAATGTAGTAAGTTTTCGTACAATTATGGGAAAAGCCCATTTTAGCCTACAGCTGAAATCAGGAGAAACCAGCATCCTAGGCCTCCTGGACTAACTGCACTCTTCCCACCGGTTTCTGAATTCTGCTGCTTTCGCCTCCTAAAATGCACCTCTTCAAGTCAGCATCGGCCTTCAGCAATAAAGGTGACCACGGCATCTTTTTTTTCGGAGCGCCCGGAGATGTTGCTACATCTTCAAGTAAAGATGTCCTCAAGCGTCATGTCAGTTCTTGGGTTATACGTTAACGCAGTTATAAAGCCCTTCACTCCTTTAACAAAGTCACTTCTCTGTAACCAGACAGGAATCCTTTTGTGGGTCAGTGCGGTTCGCGTCCAAGGTAGAGAGGCTCAGGCGACGCGCTTCACTATCACTCCTTCCTCAGCTCAAGGGTTTCTTCCTCAGGAGCTGACGGAGGTGCTGCCTGTGCCCGCAGGCCGGTAGCCTGGAGGAAGACACAGCAACCGCGGCACCGCTAGGGGAAGCCACAACAGGAACAAACGAATCCGCGCCTCTGTCCCGCCCACACAAGCTTCCGGTTCCGACGTGGCCCGGAAGTGGGCGGGCGGCGGCGGCTGCGCGTGGAGAAGGGCAGGAGGTGCTTCGCTGCGGCTTCCCGCCCCCGAGCGGAGC